ACACACACACACACACACACACACACACACACACACCAGGTACAGTGTTGTCTGCTGCACCTTTTAAGTGCGGTTTTTGTAACCTTTTCAAAATAACAAGTTAGTGGAGCTTTTTTCCCCCTTTAGCCTCAAATTAGTTGCTTTCACTTTCCATTACATCATTTTTTCTCACCCCTATTACAATGTGGTAATTGGTCACTAGGAATCTTGACATTTAACAGTATCACTCATCAGCTGGTTGCTTGAGTGTGTTCAGCTGGTAATTACATCTCTAACAGCACTTAAAGGTAACACTCATCCAGTGTGCAAACCCATGAAATGTTAGGCTGTTAGGTTAAAATAAAAGTTAGAGGGAAAATGTTTGTGAACAGAAAAATCAAAGAAACATTAACTAAAAGCTCCTAGTTTAACTGTGATCTTCCTGTGAGACATCTTCCTATTGCTTACATGCTCTACCTCTCTGTATGTTTAACACAGATGTGCAAGGAAAAAAGAAAACCCCACAGAGACTAAACACAGAGCTAGCTGGGGTGAACCGTGGATACGCTCCACAAACACAAAGGAATTAAAGGGCAAAGGCAAGAGATCAGCCCTACTTAGTGAAAAGGTTTCCATGGCAGCATCCTCTAGTTGATCCCAAACGGAGCTCTTATCACGGCCTGGAAGAATTCCCCATGAGGAGCAGCAGGAGGGAAAAAAAGCAGCAAAAGCAGGAGGGGGTTAGGCGAAGAGGTGAGTAGGTTTAATGGCAACAACAAAAGCGGAGCGGGTCGAAACCCACACAAGACGAACAAAAACAAGGAGAAATGGACAAAGCAAGCCCAGATATTCACAGATCTAGAACTTGGCTGGCTTGTTATTTTATAACAGCACTCAAGGAGATGAGATATCTTAAGTTCTTACTTTAGTTTGACATTCTGTTTTGTTACACAGAGTCACAGTTAGATACCATTTTTTCTGGTGTTCTAAATTACAGTCATTCAGAAAAAGTCACAGACAAGTGCCACCTTCAGGGGTGTTAATTCATCAGCAAAGAAAATTAGTCATTTGCACAGGTTAGGAAGGAGTGACAAATTAAAGGAAAAACCTGGCAGAGAATAAAGCATTTCTATCTTAATAATGGAAGTGATCAAAGATGACAATTGTTCCAGCTATAAGGCCTTGTGGGAGGGGCTTCACAATTAGAAATATCTGTATACGCTTTTATATAAAGTCACCAAAAATTTTAACCAAATGTATATCTATGGAGATGTTGGACTCCATTGAGTCCAAAGTCAACAGCACTCTGAACCACCATGATGAAAGCATCAAATGAGGGAATGTTTTTTGGAGGAGTGATGTCTGAGCCTTCAGTGGCGTTCCAGACACTTGAAGAATCAATGGAGAACACTGAAACTGTTATACTGGCATGTAGTGGGCTACTACTATTATTACAATTATCTTTACAGTTTATTTTATTTTTTAGACAAAACAAAACAGCTTTTAACCTTTAGCTGTAGTTTACTGGTTTGTAGCATTTAACATTACATAATCCTAAATCATCACATGTCTGACTTCTGCTTTGCTCTATTATAAGCAACTCCCAAATTAGTGAAAGTTCACTGTGATTACATTAACTGGCAAACCAAATTAGGAAGTTGCGTAAGTTAAAGTAAGTAAGGGGTAACTGAAAGTGCTGCCGTCTTTACTTTAGTGGAAGGACCAATTTTAAGTTGTTAGTACAGCAACAAAGAACAGAAAGCAAGTTTTTACCAAGCATCAGCTGTTGGAGCAAACTGTAAGAGAAAGCCTTAGAACAAGAGAGCAGGAGCCTACCCAGCAGGCCTTCGAAAAGGTAAATCCTCATACTGGTGTCCTCGATGGGCTGTGCAGGCAGCCCCTTTGCCAAGGCAGGTAAATGATCTTTTACACCAGGTTTCAGAGTATGGGTCTTCCCCTTTGGAAAAAAGACAAAGTGAATCAGAAGTTATTGCAATAACCCCAAATATGTTCGCAAATGTGCAAATATAGAAAACTAGCTTAAATTCATTTAAACACTTTGACACTACTTGGGTTTTAACGCAACACGAACACTGATTTGCTGGAAGCTGTAGGTTTCCTTAGTTTAATCTTAGTTAAAGACACAAAAACTATTTTCCACTTCAACTTTTTCAGGTTTTAACCTCTACTGGTTGTAACTGAACTTCAACTGAACCTTGAAATCCCACCAAGGCCCAGTACCTTTTGTGAAGCTTTCACTTATTTTAACTTGTGAAGTCATAAACACAGCAGTGAGTCCTTTACTTACAAACACTGAGCTGGTGGCTGGGTTGGTTTCAATCTCACTGTCAGAAAGAGTCCCCCTGGACTGAGTTAAATGAGGGGCGGTTCTCCCGCCAAGGCCATCGCCTGCTGTGCTGCTCAGATCACTGTCAGCTCCGAGAGTCTCTCCAGAGCTATTGCTTATCTACAAAGAAAGAACCAAGGTGTAAGAACAATACAGAAGTGGGGAAGGTTTATTCTTGGGAGTATTTAGTTACTAAAAAACATTAAAAAAAGAAAAAAAAAGAAAAAAGCACAATCACGTAAAATAAATTAAACAGTTATGCAACATATTCCTCATCTTAACCCAGCAATACACCAGTTTTAAAAACCACCTTAATCAGATATACCTTGAAATTATGTTTTTTTTTCCCTGTGTACTTTTATCAACCTCTCACATTGTGGAAGAAGTTTGGCCACAACACACTTCTTTACTCTGATACTGCTGTTTCTGTTCATTGAGGTTTATGTGCATTTCTTCTATGCACAGCTCTGATAAAGACCAACCACATCATTTCAATCATAGTGAGGTCTGGGCTTCAACTGGTCCACTGCAACATCTTAATTCTTTTCGTTTTCAGCTGCTCTGCTGTAGATTCACTGCTGTGCTTGGGATCATTGTCCTACTGCCCTACAAGCTTTAGCTGGAGAACCAATAGCCTCAGGAGGAGATGAAAGCAGCACAGCGGGAGGTGAAACGCTGCCTGAGGGAAGCAAAGGACACCTACAGGAGGAAGGTGGAGCAGAAGTTGGAGAGGAACAATATGAGGGAGGTCTGGAATGGTGTGAAAACCATCACAGGCCACAACACCAAGAAAAGCACAGTGGGGGGGACTGTGGAGAAGGCAAACGAACTCAACAACTTCTTCAACAGGTTTGACCAGCCCACAACCCCCCCACCCTCACCTTCACTACAGAGTCCAATCCCCACTCTCCTACCTCCCTCGCTTCCCCCCCTTCCTGACACCATGACACCCCCCTCCTCCAATCCCTCTCTCAGCAGCAAGACATCTCCCCCCCTCCCCTCCTCCCAAACATCTCCCAGTGTCACAGTGGATCAGGTCAGGAGACAACTGAGGAAGCTTCGCCCCAGAAAGGCAGCAGGCCCAGACAAGGTGTGTCCTAGGATGCTAAAGGCGTGTGCTGCTGAACTTGGGGAGCCGCTACAACGAGTCTTCAACCTCAGTCTGCGACTGGGGAGAGTGCCCGCCCTATGGAAGACATCCTGCATCGTCCCGGTCCCCAAAAAGAACCGGCCCAATGAGCTGAATGACTTCCGACCGGTGGCACTGACGTCACATCTTATGAAGACTCTAGAGCGGCTCTTCCTCAACCTCCTCCGACCACAGGTACAACATGCCCAGGACCCACTACAGTTTGCATACAAGGCGGGTGTCGGAGTGGAGGATGCCATCCTGTACCTCCTACACAGAGCCCACTCACACCTGGATGGGGGAAAAGGCACGGTCAGGATCCTGTTTCTTGACTTTTCCAGTGCCTTTAATACCATCCGGCCCTGTATGCTTCAGGAAAAACTGAACAGGATGGAGGTGGACCCCTGCCTGGTGCTTGGATCTCCGACTACCTCACCGACAGACCACAGTACGTCAGGCTGAAGGACATCACGTCTGACACTGTGGTCAGCAGCACAGGAGCACCACAGGGAACTGTGCTGTCCCCTCTTCTCTTCACCCTGTACACCTCTGACTTCTGCTACAACTCTGAATTATGCCACATTCAGAAGTTTGCAGACGACACAGCCATCATGGGGTGTATCTGGGATGATCAGGAAGAGGAGTACAGAAGTCTGGTGAGGAACTTTGTCGCATGGAGTCACACAAACCACCTGCAACTCAACACCTCAAAGACTAAGGAACTGGTTGTGGACTTCGGGAGGTCAGAGAGGTCCACTGCCGGTTCAGATAGAGGGGGAGGAGGTGGAGGTGGTCAACAAGTACAAGTACCTCGGGCTGTGGGTGGACAATAAACTGGACTGGTCATGCAACACAGAGCACCTGTATAAAAAAGCCCAAAGCCGACTGTACTTCCTCAGGAGGCTGAGGTCTTTTAACATCTGCAGGAAGCTCCTGAGGATGTTTTACCAGTCGGTGGTTGCTGGAGTACTTTTCTATGCTGTGGTGTGCTGGGGGAGCAGCACAGCAAAGAAGGACTCATCCAGGCTGGAGAAACTGATCAGGAGGCTAGCTCTGTGGTCGGCATGAAGCTGGACACTCTGGTGACAGTGGCAGAGAAAAGGACATTAAAGAAACTGATGGACATTATGGACAATGCCGGCATCCTCTGCACACGGCCATTAACAACCAGAAGAGTCTGTTCAGTGACAGGTTGCTTCTCCCAAAGACAAGAACTAACAGACTTAAAAACTCCTTTGTCCCACACGCCATCAGACTGTTTAACTCCTCTCTGGAGGGGAGAGGGAGGGGAAACAGGAGGACAAAGGAGGGGGGAACAACTAAGCTGTAGTGCCTCTTCACCTCACTGTGCAATACCTTTTGTGCAATACTTTTGTAAATAGTCAACAGTGCAATAGACCTCAATACTTGAAATGTGCAATTCACTTGTATTTATTTTTCTATTTATTCTATTTATCCCCTTCGTATATTTTATTTATATTTGTGTGTGTGTGTGTGTGTGTGTGTGTGTGTGTGTGTGTTTGTGTGTGTGTGTGTGTGTGTGTTGTTGGTGTGGTGTGTGTGTGTATATATTCTGTAACTCTGTAACTTCTGTCGGTGCTGTGCTTTTTTGGAAATCGAATTTCCCAGAGGAACCCACCCGAGGGATTAATAAAGTTCTATCTAATCTAATCTAATTTGACTCCATGATATTCAGTGACTGTGAGGTGCCCATTTTCATTCTTCTTAACATCACTGTATGATGACTACATGTTTTTAAATGGTTGCACTCTTTGAGAATGACATCTGCATCATTTTTATAGAATTACTTTTGTTCATGGAGAGGCTGAAAACTCATCATCTAAGGACATTTGGCATTTTCAGTCTTCACTAAATCTATAACCTAGCAACAGCAACGTCACAGCTCTCAGAGGACTGGTTTGTTTTATTACAGCTAACAATATGCTAACACATACCACCCACATTTCTTGCTTCTTTTTTTTTTTTTTTTTTAATTACTTTGTAGGTGGAATAAACCGAAATTTAGTGACTAATATCTGAGTTGGCCATGCCCTACCACTGTGCTGGCCTCTGAGTCCTGGCTGGTGCTCCTTGTCAGGATTGGTGGCTCTGAGCTTGCTACAGATTCAGTGTCACTCTTCTGTAACCCAAAAGAAAAAAAACAAAAAAACAATACATTGGTATTTTTATATGTAATGGTATTTTCAAGGGCAGCAACATCAAAACTTGAATACTACAAGAATTACAGGCTCTGGCAAAAACATATACAAAGACTGGGGAATTAGATTGAACTATTAAGCTTTTATATTTTAAACCTAGTTTAATCTTCTCTATGCTTCACACATGTTTTCGCACAGTGCTGCATATACAAACCTGAGATCCAGATGTTACACTCAGGCCACTATCAGCACTGATTTGGGACTTCTTCTCCTCTGCATCTGTCACCTGGGGGCGCTGCTGCTTTGCTCCTTCTGACCCTGCAAAATAGGCATGATTATAAGCACATTTTCATGAAGACAACTACGCTGCCTTCTTACCTTATTCAGAGCCGCCTCACTCAAAGCCAGCACAGCACAGCGACACTGACGCTACATCCATCTGAAGTGCCAAAGCCTCAATTTAAACATTGCATTGCACTTGTGCACAGCAAAGCATACAGTATAACACTAGCTTATCAAAGTTTGGTATCAAAGACTTGGCGCCTTAACCTCATTCTAGCTGAAAAATACTGTAAGAAGAAAAATTAATAATTCCTGCATCTTAAAAAAAAAAAGTTCTAATTATTTTATTTTTATCTTTCCATATAAAATACTGGTGTTATAATGGAAAAAAAAACAAACAAAAAAAACAGCTTAAGTTGTTCAAGACCAGACAGAGAAAAGACAGAAGGGGCAAGCAGAGTGCAGTAAAATTGGGAAAAAGTTACAAATGAAAACAAAACTGCCAGAGCGTGTGACATTACGTCTCAGTCAATGCTGCAAATGTGGCCCAAGTTACACCAAAAACAGACACAGGCAGTTAGGCATGCAGACAAACTGATGGACGGTAAAGGAGACATTTTCTGTTTCAAGTGTGATTTGCAATTTGTTCCGTCACCTCCGCAGGTGCAGATGGTGACGAGTACATCCTGACCCTTCCTTGTTCCTTTTTCATTTCCCCCCCCCCTGGGATTTTGTGACATTTAACTTTTCTAACATTTCATAAGGCTTTTAAGTGTACCTGTGAAATATTGGCTGCAAACACACAGTTTACAGCAAGCCACTTGAAACTGGAAAGAATACAGTTAAAAGAGGAGGACAGGGCAGCAGGTATTCATCTCTGTTCATCATAATGCATGTTTGCAAGGAAAAAGAAACACACTGGTAAAACAAAATGACATATTGCTGGAGCTAAAGCCAGTAACTAAAATGAAATTCCCATTTTTTTAAATGTCAATTAAGTTCCACAAGATTTTGGAAACAGTCTCTATTAAACACAGCATGGCATTTTTGAAAATAAAAGGCTTTCTTTTACCTAAAAGTATTGTATTTGTGTAAAATGCTTTAGCCTTAATTATTTTATAGAAAAAAAACAGCCTGATACACATTTTATTTGTAAGAGTAAAATCAAGACCTGTGTAACTATATTTCTTGGGTTATTCTCCTTCATTTCTTTTTTATATATTCATGTATAAAAGATCCTGGTAAGTTTGAACAGGTAGACAGAAGGCAGCAGGAAAAAAAGGTCAGCAGCTGAACACCCTAATCCTTTTTTTGTTGGGTTTTTTTGGGTGTGTGAAAAGTCTCTTACTCTGTTGTTTTTCCATAGCTTTTTGCTTATCCTGGTGCTTGCTCCACAATTCTACCCAAGATGCATTGCAAGCAAGGAGAGAAAGACAGAGAGAGAGTCAGAGAGCTGGTTGAAAAGGCATGTATGGTGGATGAGCATCAAAATCAAAAGCAAAACAAAGTAAGCATTGAGAATCTGTCAATATTGACGGGAGGTATTTTGTAATGTTTGCATGTAGCTCTGCTTTAATCTGGAACATTTTAAAAAATAGAAAAAGAACTGTTTTTTGTTTTGTTTTTTTACATTGAATCCATCATGTGTAACAGCTACTAAGGGAACATTACAACACACCCGTAGTTCCTGGCACAAAGTCCTGGAGAGCCACACAGTGACGTCAGAATGAGCTTTTGCTCTAATTACAGGCCACTGATTTGCATTTATTGCATTTGTCTGGCTCTCCAGAGCACAAGTAAGACAGCAAGAGAGAGAGATCAGGAGATAGAAAGAGAGCGAGCGAGAGAGGGAGAGAGATGGATGATTTGGAAAAGAGCATGGGATGAGGTTGAGAGGCCGATTAGCCAGCATGTGAAATGGAGCAGTTGCAGAAGCCAGGATGCAAGTCTCACAGCTTTCTGTAGAATTGAAGGTGCAGCTTCTAACAAGAAAAGAAGGGGGTATGGGTAGGAGAGGCGTCAGGGTGGTTTAGCTGAGAAAGTCCCCTGTATACAGACCCAGAATAACTTTTGGAAATTGAAATCCTGAAGAGATTATTAAAGATTTTTCCAGTTACTTCCATCTGGACCAATAGAAAAGCTTCTTAGGTGACATTTGCATTCTTACTGGGACTGTTTACTGGGGAGTGATTCTTCCACCCACCATGCTGAGAGCAAAGGGAGCTGCTATTTTCTACAGCACACCTTGCAGAAAACCTGCAGTGAGGGTAGTCTCGACTACTGATGCGCATACCTCTGGTTTCCCTCATCCACTACTGCAGATTTACGTATTGGAAGACCAAAACAATGACATGCATTCAAGGTGCCGAGAGGCTAACGACAGAACTCTGGGAAGGAGGCAAACAGGGGCACAGATGTTTAAGGGAAGGGAGACAAGCACACGCAGTCCAGGCTGAAAGACAGGGATATATTCCAGACACTTTGCAAGGCTTTCATCATGTCTGCAACCAAGGCCTCATTCTGAATTTGAATTTTGAAAATCATCTAAGCAGAACATTATTGTTATTATTGTTGTTTTGGTTTTTTAGTTTGGCTGCCCACTCTTGCGATTATTTTTAGTCAAAATGTGTGGAATATTATTACCCTGCAAGAATCTGAGTCTGGGACAAGTGAGGGGATCTTTCTTTGAGACGGCTGGAGGAGGGGAGGGAGACTGGTATTAAGGGTGATGAGCTTGTAGGGGGAGGGGATTTTTACAGTGCACATGCAACCGGGCTGGAGTGGTGTACACACCAATCGAGGCAATAAAGTTCTCCTCATTCAGACTCCGGGTATCAAAATGGCGGGCTCCTTTGCCCGTTGTGTGGTGTGGCAGCTGCAGGTGGGGAATATTCAGAAGGCCCTGAGGTCTGGCAGTCTCCATACGACCAGAAGGACTCTCTTTACTCCCTGGGCTGCCAGCACTGTCTGTGGGGCTTCGCTTGCGCTTTTCTGGGTCTACCGAGTTACGGAAATTAAGGGGCCAAAAACAGAGGTCATCAAAAATACAGAAAAACAAAATAAGCGGTGGGTTAAACTGGGAATCAATTAAAAGTAAGAAAAATCACACTTTTAGTGCTTCGAAGTCTAACATGCAACACAAAGCTTAATATAAACAGTGCAAAGACGGACAAGTGTTAGTAGCACAGGCTCGCTGCCGTTACACTCCTCAGCACAAAGAATCTTAAACAAGCTGAGAAAAGTTAAAAAAAAAAAAAATAAATCCTCTAACTCACTCATTTCCACTCTTCCGTGTTAAAAGCATGAGGCATACCTTTGGTTTGATAATGTGTACGTGCTATTTCCAGCAGGCTGAATACACTGGCCATTCCCCCGAGGCCTGCATTAGTGTAGGAGTGCTCCAGACTGGAAACTGTGCACTTCAAGATGTCCAACATGCCTTTGTACACCTTCCTGTTCACCTCCTGGAAACAAAACACAGTAACATGGTTTCTACTGAAAAACTGAATAGAAAAATACAAATAACACTACAAGCTTCCATCGTCAAAGATTATCATTTCAAAACCTTAAACAAGTCTCAGTTATTAAAGGCAAACAATACTTTGAACAAGTCCCAGATTGAAACACTTCATATATAATATATAATCTCATGGAATTATTATTCCAATAGTTATATTCTGAAAATTAAAAAAATCCTCGAAGTTCACTGTTCTTGTAAGTGTTTATACACCATAAAAACATGCAGGATAAGTTGCTCTCGAAAATCTTGTGTGATGGAAGCAGCTGCAGGAAGCCAACAGTGGGACCATCACTCAAACTCAAAGAGTACCAACCAGGGATGGGTGGAGAGGGCAGAAAGGATACCATAATGTTATACATTAATGTATGTATACATTATGGGGGGCTAGGACTCTTATTGAAAAGCTGTTCTTTTGTCACTTTTTGCAGTGATTATGTTTCAAACGAAATAACGACCGCTAGTGAAAAAGGAGAAGAAAACCTACAGCCAAGCACTTTTAATAGATAAGTGCTTTAACATGCTGCGGAGTGGTGGAACTGTGGTTAGCTTTATTTTGTTGCATCTGTATATGCAAAAGCCTGGCAGGTTGACATCAAACACAGCAGAGCCTTAGAATACTGTTTCAGAACTTCCTTCTATATTGTTCTGGCTCAATACTGGACCAATTCCAAATGTTTTTGTCCAGATTAATCATTTAGACTAAACAAAATGAGAAAATATAGCCCAGGTTTAAAAATACTCCTGGTACAGGCAAGCGCTGTCATGGAGTAATGAATAAGAACAAAGATCTCACCACATCCCGAATGATCTCCTGCCTGGCGTCTTCCTCCGACTGGACGGCTCTGTTCAGCTTACTCAGCACAAACACACGAAGCTGCTCGTTCTCCAACAGGCGGCGCACCTTTTTCATATTGAGCCAGCCCACTCCCTGACCATCCAGAACACTCTGCACTACTTCCTTAAGGAACTGCTGGTTCTCACTGAATGGACATAACACAGGTTCAGTCGCACTAAACAGCAATTACACAACAATTAAAATGCATCCAATCTAAAGCCTTTAGCTTAACAAATACAAAAGAATTAAGAAATACTTTTAATCTAAAATCGTTTACTACCTTGTGTTGTTTACCCGGCCCTGAGGAGAGGGCGATTCTCTTTTCACAGTCGGACTGTGTTTGATCACTGAAGACTTCTGGTCAACAAGTGCTCGAGGTGCGCGTGCGCCTGGAAGAACAACCACGACAATTATGTTTCTAATACATCACAAAATAATAACACACATCAACTACAAACTACTAGCTCGCTACACAGAGGAGCACTGGATTAGACTCACACAGAGGCACTTGCTAACCAGGAATTGTAATCCGGGGGGGGGGGGGCTTTCAAATCAGATTTTTATAAGATTCAACATCAGATAGGAAAGAAAGCAGTTTACATCACTTTGTGAAGAGGACAAACACTGAAGGTTATCTACTGCTGAACACACAAATTACTGGTGTTGCTAGAGTCTATTATTACAACAGGAGAAGTGAAGGACAAATCAAACAGGGACATGGTGCAGACACGCTTCTTCTCTTGCTCTCTACACACAAACACACACAGGAGTCCTAATGGTGCTCTTGGTGGTGGCATCACACATTAGCAGAATAGTGATTTGAGGTCAGTGGGAGGACAGTGTGTAGCAAAACTACATCAGTGATAACATGCATGAAGGAAAATAAAGACGTGAGTGGATGGATACCACAATGCAGTAGATGTTAGGGCTGTGGAAATCATTTCATCATTGTAGTATAAAATGATCAAAAAATGATTCAAGTCCAAGTATTGCAATTTCCATCCATTTTAAACCTTTACTGTGTGTAAGAAACCTAAACGCTGTTACACATTCAGCCATTTCAGACAAAATAACTTCCACTGATCTGATATTTTATTATTGTTTTTCTATTCCAGCTACACCGTGTTGACTCAAACTACACATTTCAAACAGCCTTTCCTAATAGAACCTGCTCCTTCTACGACTCACCCTGTATGTGCCGGCGTTCATGCTAAATACTAATGTGCTGTATAACCTGTTCGGTTATGTCAGTTAACAATTCCAGTAAAAATTATTCAAACACAACAGGTGCATTCTCAACACTGACCAAAAAAAAAAAAAAAAAAAAAAAGCATTAAATGGAGCTTTTTCACTATAAATGTAACATAGAAATAACAAAAAAAAAATAGGCATAAGTGGAGGAAGCCTGACATTGTGTTCAGTCTGGTGGCCCAGTTCTAAAATTGGTCAAAGGTTCCTTTCATTTGCTGACAGAGCATGCTGGTTCAGACACAGAAACTCTGCTTTGACTCATCTGCAACTAAAATGGCCAGTCATGCTGTAGCAGCAATAACCAACAATATGAAAGGATGCTGTCCATTATAACCACACATACAAACATAACACGCGGGAGCGCATCAAGCTTCAGCAGTTTTTAAGACTGGGCTGGGTGAGGAGCATCCCCCAAAAAGAAGGGGATGGAAATCTTTCTTTTTTCCTTTCATCACAAGCTTGTTTACTTCCACTTTTATATGGCAGTGGGGATCTATTGTTTATTTCTGTTGTTGAAGTTTTATTGGAGATCAATGCTACGACTGCACAAGAAGAATTTTCAGCATGCTTTAGTCTGAAAAGCAATAACTCATAGCTGTTCTTTCGGTTTTCCTTATGATTTATTGTGGAAGGGATGGCAACTGAAGCAGCACTTGAAACACAGGGAATTTTCAAGTATGATGAATGTTGCAGCAGGAAGAGGGTGGAGACTGTGTATGGACTCTGTCCACTATGAATATGAACAGATAAGTCTGAGGCCAAATGAAAAGAAGCTTGTTGGAAACTCAGCTTCTCTATCCGGAGACTCAACTTTCATAATTTTTTGTTTGTGGCTTCTTAAAGAAGCTAGAAAACAGGGGTAAAATGCTCGGAAGACCTGAGTTGAAAAATAAACTGGAAGTGAGATCAATCTGCATACCAGTCTGAAGCCTGGAAATAATATACAACTGTAAAAGCAGGTCAGGGTACAATGATTGGTCAGATTTTTGCACTGACTGAGCCAGGTGGAATAACAAATTCTGTCAATAAATCAGAAACACTGATTCATCATGATACAAATGAAATAAATCTGTAAAAATATAACAGGCATAATTTTAAGATATGATTTATAGTTAAGATATTATTTGTGGATCAGGTGACAGAGTTGGTTGCCCCACCATTATCAAAGGAATCAGTGGGTTCTCATTCCTAGCATTAGTTTCAATGTCTCCCCCTGCGATGCACCTCCCTGTCTATTCCTGGGAAGCTTTTCTCATTACACATATTCTGATTGGCTGGTGACTGCAAAGTACAGCCTGCATATAGCTCTACTGCACAGTCATTATTCAAACACCTCTTCTTGTTTCGATATGTTTTATAGGGTAGCCAGCTCATCCATCCATAGGCAGGTGTGCTTAGCCAACTTCTCCATCACCAGGCACTAACTGCCTTTTTGCTTCATCTCACCCTGAACATGAGTCTTCACCATAGGCTGGGACATCCCACCATTTAGCTATGCAGTAAGGTAGTTTCTTTGTACAGTTTAGTATGCCAGCTAACACATGCTGTCCTTTTTGTCAGTACTGTACTTTGATTTGTTCTGTTGTTGGTCTGTCTGACAGAGTGGCCACAGACCATTTGTACCATATGCTCTGCACTTTGCCTGCACTCATCAGAGGGAGGCAAAAGTGGCCTCCCTCTGATGAGATCTCTGTAGGCAGACGGGCCATCCTTTGAGAGCCAGCAGACTGCAAACATGCTAACCCTGTTGGACAATAAATTCCACTTTACCTGCCCACAGCCAGCATGCCAACAGATGATGGAGTTCCATCCGGGCCGACTATACCTTGGCCCAATGTAGTAACAGAAACCACCAGATCAATTTTAAAAATTAAGAAATTGTCCCAGGCCACCAGCATGGCAAAAACAATGTTTCCTCCACGCCGCTGCTTTCAAAGCAGAGCTATTTGAGAACGTGGCCCCTAAAACTGACCCAAATATGAGGTAGGAGACTAATGTGACTATGGACATTTGCATGCAACAGTCTCAAGTCCTGTAATGTGCTCTTGTATAATACTACTGGTGTTCCCAGAGCTATGGTCAAAGTTCCAGTAGCTCTATTCAGGAAGCGTGCTGCAGCTGAGGTGTAAAACAACCTACACATGTGATGTATTTCTTACATCCTTTTATCCGTCTTGTGTTTCATTTGCTTCTCTGGGCTTAATAGTTTTATAACATATTGCTCTCATTTCCCTGTGATTGCTGAAAATATCCTCATTTGTTTTAACATTTTGTGATATTGCTAGTGAAATAGATGAGGTTAAACATACTGTGGCGTGAACAGTTAGTCTGAGAAAGAACAGTCACTATGAATGGCAGTGCGATAAGACAACACTGGACCTTTAATGACAAACACAGTGACTGAAATGGAGAGAGACACGAGGAATGCTGGGAGATGTAATTGACTGGCTTGGAGAAGCATGCAGCTCACGCGATAAAAGGGCAGAACCCACCTTCTCCGCTCCCCGGGCCGGCCTCTGTAATTATCTCCATTAGAGAATTTAGCCCAAATACTGCACACAAAACCCAGAATTAGTGCCGCGAAAAGGTGGACAGAGAGAGGGACACCGGCCCAGACACAACCAGTCTGAACATCAACCCATAATACAACACACATGCACACTCAACATGGCGTCAAACAATAGAAAAAAAAATATTGAAGGAAAAAAAAAAAGGGTAGACAGAAAAGAGAAATACACAGTATGTACTGATGATGGTGTTGACCCTGAAAATGTTGGATAAAATGAACAATGCCAGCAAGATGTTCAACATTTACAACCCAAGTAAGAGCAGAGTATAGCTCATACTTTGTTGTGCGCACATCAGTAGCCTGAACCACATGAATAATGCTGAACAGTTCAATATAGACAGTGTAAATCTAGTGCAATGGACTGAGTCCCTTCTTTTTGAACATGTGCATGAAGGAATTTATCACTAAGTGATTATCTTGTTTCAAGAATTAAAAACAAACCAAAATAGAAAGCAGTAAAATACTCAAATCTAAAATGATATTTGTTAAATAGTTCATTAAATCAAAAAGAAAACGCCACCAAACAAGCAAACAACACAACAGGTTAAGAGACAAGCGGCCAGGGGAGATAAACGATCATTCAACAGACTTAATTTACTCCAATATATATATTATATATAATATATATATAATATTATATTATATTATATATATATAATAATTTATATAGTATATAGTAATATTATCATAAATCATAGTAATTACTATAGTATTATTATATATATATATATATATTATATATAGTATATAATACTTATATATATATTATATATATTAGCATGACAGACATTCGTATCGATATTGAACCGTTCGATACATGCTTTCGGTTCGGTACGCATATGTATCGAACAATACAACATTTGTAATTTATTTTATCAATTTTCCTTCTGACGATGCTGTCTGTGTTGAGCGCTCAGTGAATCTGTGTTCGACTACTCCGCCTAGGCTGCACTGTCGAGCGCAGATCCACTGAGCGCTCAACACAGACAGCATAGTCAGAAGGAAGAGCGCAGGGCACCTCCCCCACCCTCATTCAGATCTGGCGTTTGGAATTATTTTGGTTTTCATGTGACGTATGACCCTGAAGGTAAGCGAGTCATGGACTAAAGTAAAACAGTATGTTGGATGTGCCATGCAATGCTCAATTACATTGGTGGTGAACTAGTGTGTTAGCGCAGTTAGCTCGTTAACGTGTTGGCCGTCTAGCCCCATGCACGGGGCGATCGGCGGTAGCTCGTTAACGGAGATTTGCCGTGTTGTGGCGTTAAGGTCATTTCAACGAGATTAACCTGAAAGCACTAGTGGGAACACAACGAATATGACTGCACATTTACGCCGACATCATCCTAGTGCAAAGACAAAAACAACAAGCATGCTACTAACTTTAGCCGAGTCATTTAGACAGCTGTTAGCACATGATTTCTTTGGACCGATGTAATATGCTGCTGAGAATATAGCCCAGAAGAAGCGGATAGTATAGCTTTTATTTTGGAAAGAGACATTTCTCTGTAATAAACTCTCTTTTCCAAAGATGAGTGATTCCTCAATCAGATACAGGGCTTCGCAATATCGCTAGCCCGACGTCCCGGAGCTAGCGATTTTTTCAGTCGGGCTACCAAAATCTATCTCTGCCCTGCCCGTCGGGCTATTGTAGGAAAAATATATGTCAATGCTTTTGCATTCTTTCAGAAATGTAGCTGGGTAATTATGTCATTGGCATCGGTGAGCCACTGTCAATATGTGACATATTGAATCGCGTTTGAATTTGCGCTTGTTTTTTTGCTTTCACTTTGCAATCGTGCGAACTGTGTATAGAGAGCGACAGCACTGATCTGTGAGTGATGATAATTTGTGCACCAATTCCTCTGACATCGTCTTATTAATCGTTAGCTTACTATGCAAACATGACAAGTGAAATCTCCGCGCAGCTTAAACATGTGAGAGGTTGATCGCGCAGAGAATCGCTGAGTGATGTGTGTGGTGTGTAAAAGCATTTCAGTTCTGCTGAGCCAAATAAGACAGGTCAGGGTGAAGAAGTGACAGCCAAAGAAAAGCTTACCACAAAACGGAAAAGTTATGACAAATCAGACTATAAGGCAAAAAGAAAGTGCAGCTTTATGGTTTCATATGGACAAAATAATTTCTGTGGCTGCAATATGACGAGCTAAATAACCAGGGCTGCACATAAGTGGTCCGCAGGTGCGCATTCGCTGTCAAAATAAAAAACACGCACAAGGGTTAGGGTTAAATTTAAAAACTGTACTTTTGAGTTAAAATATATATTTATAATTTTAATAAATGACAAATTAAAAATGCATGAACATTTTTTTATAAAATATCGACCGACACAAATATCGAACCGAACCGTGAATTTTGTGTATCGTTGCACCCAATATATATATATATATATATATATATATATATATATATATATATATATATATATATATATATATATATATAATATATATATATATATATATATATGTATGTATGTATGTATGTATGTATGTATGTATGTATGTATATAATTGTATATATATATATGTATGAATACTGAGCAGATGCCACACCAATTACAGATTATAGTCAAAAATCTTGACTGTAAATGTGTGCGTCACAGTGCATCAAGAAGACTCCCAACAGGCACACAAAGAGGGATGGCAAAGAAACAAAGGGGAAGGTAGGGGTTTAGATCTGTGGTGTTATAGGTGTGTCTTAGTCTAAGAAAAAGAGGTATAAAGATAAGCAGAGGTCACTTCAAGGTTAAAGAAATGCCTATTCAAGAGGTTACAAACTATCACACCAGACATAACATACCCGGGCTTTCAGGGGAATCTGGACAAAGACAAAACACATCAAAATCAAAGGAACAGAACATTTTCTATGGCAGCTATTCCACATGGTGTGGAGCTATTGAGTTAGTTTATCATGCTTTACCTTTTTTGTTTTTTTTTTACCGTATATTATTTTGTTTTTCTCTCAGCTAATGTGAAAATCCAGCCTAAACAGAATTCATTATAGAATTTCAATTTGCTCATCTCTGCAAAAACAACCTGCACAAGACCATGAAAATAATGTGAACTCTGTTTCTGAGTGGATTTTCTGACTCGAGAGAAATTTATTTATTTCATACATCCTCAATATTCTCCTTTAAATAGTGCCATATATGTTTGCCAATCCAAAAGGAGGAAAGTCAGGCTACAAAAAAAAAAAAAAGCAATTCTACAAACCTGCTTGCTCCACTTCCTCCTCAATATCAAAATTAAAATATTCTTTTTACCCCAAAACGAATTAGAAAAAGAAAAGAAAGGCAGAGAAGGAAAGTAAATTAATCAGTCAATAACATTTAAAAAAAAAAAAAAAAAACTTAAATTGAATTAGAATAGCATGTAATTTAAAGCATCCAAAATTGTATAATTGAGTAAATGAAGCCAGTGATGAACAAAAAATGTATCAAAATCATTATTTTTCCCACGATTCCTATTTTTAGGTCTTTTCATATCCCCACAAAATATATTACAATCTTTTTTTAATCACCGCTGAAACCACGCTGAACAGATAAGTGTACTGAACAACTAAGTGTTCACATAAGCCACCTACCCTTTAGACTGGGGAACGGTGTTGATTTCTCCCTTGCTGCCTTATTAGGAAGGGCAAGATTGGACAAGCTGAAACTTGTGCCGTGGTTCTTGTAGAGATTGCCTGTAAAAGGAGTGATGAGAAAAATCAAATACTGCTTTGTGTTTGAATTCCTCCTCCAACATGTTTATTAGGGGTGCAACGATACACAAAATTCACGGTTCGGTTCGATACTTTGGTGTCACGGTTCGATATTTTTTCGATACAAAAAAATGTTCATGCCTTTTTAATTTGTCATTTATTAAAATTATAAATATATATTTTAACTCAAAAGTACAGTTTTTAAATTTAATGTTGCTGAAACAACAAAGTAATAAAAAAAAATAAATCTGATTGAGGAATCACTCATCTTTGGAAAGAGAGTTTATTACAGAGAAATGGCTCTTTCAAAATAAAAGCTATACTATACGCTTCTTCTGGGCTATATTCTCAGCAGCATATTAAACATATCAGGTCCCCATAAGGAGAATCCTGTGCTAACGGCTGTCTAAATGACTCGGGTAAAGTTTGTAGCATGCTGCTTGTTGTTTTTGTCTGCTTCCACTTGTCTTTGCACTAGGATGATGTCGGAGTAAATGTGCAGTCATATTCGTTGTGTTCCCACTAGTGCTGTCAGCGTTAATCTGAAATGACGTTAACGCCACAACACGGCAAATCTCCGTTAACGAGCTACCGCGGATCGCCCCGTGCGTGGGGCTGGACGGCCAACACGTTAACGAGCTAACTGCGCTCTGGG